GAAACATTGGATTCCGGATTCCAAGCCTTGGGATTCCGGATTCCAAAGAATTTTTATGTTGGATTCCTGATAATAAATGGCGTGATTTTCAGTGTCTTTTTTTTCCTAAAAATTTTATATTCAGCGTGAAACTACGTATATGAAGTACAGTAAAGACAGTTGGATTTACGTTCTCATCTCCCAACAGCTAGATTTTCACCGATAAAAGCAGTCTTCCTAACTATCCAGATTCTGGATTCCAAATAGTTGGATTCCGGGATTCCAGGATAGGGATTCCGGATTCCAAAGCTGTATTTTTACTGGATTCCGGATTCCGGATTCTCTTACACGGGGCGACACAAACTCGTCTCATGTACCAACGCGCACAGTTGGCAGCTGCGACTAGTTCTCAAAGGCAGATGTGGACAAAGGAATGTTATGTATGCCTCCCATATAATACTTCATTTCTTTAATTTATTTGAGTGTCTTTTATTTCCTTGGTGAAATAGGCAGGTTCAATTTTTATATGTGAGTTACGGCTAAATTACCAGATRAASAACTCCACAAGTTACATAACTAATCCCGACGTAGTCGCAACATTACTGATCTGATCGATTGTGACTTATTACATGACTAACTGGTTTTGAAATCGAACACAATCGTACTCACAGCAACGACAACAAACTAGACAAACAAGTGTTCGATTCTGTTTGAAATTAAGCGTTCTCAAAGCAACGCTCTTGACCGATTGTGTTTGATTACAAAACAAATCGACATTCAATCGAACCGATTAATGTTCGATTATTATAAGTTTTATTTTGTTGGATTGGCTACGCCGGAACATTGACACAGTTTATTGGTACAAAATTGATAACATAATTTATAGCTTACTGTTGTGAATTTATTTGCTAATTTGTTGGTTGAAACAAAGTTCTTCGTGCTACTCCGTGAAATCCTTGAAAATCGGCCTAAAATAAAAATCTCGTCATCAAGAAACCTTGTTCCAGAACTTCAAAAATAATGGTGACGTCATCATGATTAATGATTGAAGTATATCATGTAGAGGCGCCAGTTCACTGGTGCATAACAGATGCGTCCTGTATCATCTTTGGGACAGAAACGTTTTTATTATGGTTTTGATCACAACACGGACAGGGTCACGGAACCTTAAATAATCTTGATATTTCATATTTAAAAAGCACTAACAATCAAATAAAGACTCTAAGTGATTTTGCACGCCACTAAGCTAAAATTAAAGTAATAAAAGTTTCAAGGATGAATCATGGAGTTTTGCAGATCATGTCGGTCGATCAAACCAAATAACAATAGAATGCAGAAATACAGACTTTTGCGACTGCAAAAAACTGTTATAATTCAATAGAATTTAGATAAAAATTTAAAAGTATATCTCGGCATCTTACAGAGCCAAACATTGTCTTGCTTAAGTTCCAACCAACATCTTCGAATACCATCACCACACAACGCTCACAATTGATCACCATTGACATTGTGAATTTTTGACATTGTGAGTTTTAAAAAGCCGAAGACAGAGAACTACCTATAAATGCGCAGGGACTTGAAACACATGTGGGGTTAAAAATCAAAATCGTTATCATAACGATTATGTTGAAAATCAGTTCATAGTTTTGTTCTGGTTTTATTCAGTTTATTTGTTACACTAGTTTATCTGGTGAGTTTTTACTTGGCAGCTTAAAAGGCAGCAAACATTAATCCACAATCTTTGCAAAATTTTGTGAAATGCCGTCTATGATTGTGTTACTACAACCTCCCCTCCCCTTTGACAATATTGTTCGTCAATGACTTGCTACAAAATCACCAAGGATGAGGAAAGGAACATGTGTGCAACCTTGCAGTTCATTACTTGAAATTTCATTGTTTTGTAAAAGAATTTATAAAACTTATTAATAATGCATAAGCTATTGCTCCAATAAGAGCTGACCATTTAATCAGGTGATTGACCTTGTAAATCTGATACAACCACTAGTGGTTGTATCAGATTTACAACACGGTCGTCACTATTGAGACAACCCAACACTAGCAAAGGTCTCAGTTTTAGTGTCGCATCATAGACCTTCACTAGGTTTTGAAGCAATCAAAGACGGATAACAGAACTCGCTTATGCAACAGATGGCTTGCTTTCCATGTGGGATGGATAATTATTGAAAATRTTCTGTGTTGCAGTAAATTGCGCATGCTTAATAGGGACTAAACTCAGCAGTTACCTTATTTGTCATTTTTCGTCATTTATCTCACTGTAATTCATGTTAATTTGTGTTGGAGTTTTATAAGTCGTTTACAACATTCGCGTCCGTGTTGTATGGGAATTACAATCTCTCGCCTGCGGCTCGAGATTGTAATTCCCATACAACACGGCCGCTCATGTTGTAAACTATACTTGAAAACTCAATGTTTCGAGGGATCAAACCCAAGCAGTCTAGTCTTCTACACACTAAGCTAAGTTTTAATAGGGAAACTACGGTTTCGTCTGCATTAAGACCTCTCAATCCTACGGTTACACTTTTGACGTAGATGGCAAATCCACTTTTAATTTCGATGAATAGATGGGCGGTACTACGCAAGATTATAAACTGTACTCAGTACAAACCTATGACCCCTCAGGTATTNCCCAATAGTTGAAAAAAATTAAACAGTACAATAGAATTATGCAAAAAAATTTATTAGCTAAAACAGTCTTTCGAAAGAGTTACTATTTATTAACGAATACGGCCGAGTCCAGATGTCGGTCAAACCATTTTGCAAGTTCTTCACTGAGTATACAGATCTGGTGGGTTCCTTCAAGAACATCAGCAATGCGTTTTCCTAGCATCTTCACTTGATTCCCTTCCACATAGGTTACATTCTCCAAGATCTTCTCCAACTTTCGCTGCGGTGTTTCACCAGCTGTAAATTTTTCTACGAACGATCTCAGCTCTTCCTGATTGTGAATAGAGAAGATCTTTGCATTCGCGCGATACTTGTCACCAACATCATTTGGGATTTTAAAAATCAGAAATGCTTGCTTTGCATTACAAGAAGCATCACGTATTTCTCGTTCAAAGTCACTTTCACTTAGTGGAAGTTTCCTTAAGCAAAATCCTTTAGCGCGTGAGCTAAAATCTTGTGGTCTTTCGCTGTGCAGCTTATCGAGGCGAACTCCATTGTCTATAATGTCTTGTGCTGTTTTGTGGTTTGTGCCATGTAACAGGACTTTGAAACCGTCTCCTTTCCACGCTTTGGGAAAGTCGGGAGGGTCAGGACATTTCTCTGTCAAATTCAAAATGTTTACTGTTCTCACATGAGACGGATCATGGGGTAGTGGAATTTCCCCTGTAAACCATTTTCCTACATTTTCTTCTTGATAAGGAAATCTTGCACAAGATCTTAGTTTCTGCGAAAAGGTGCCATGCACTGAAACGATGCCTTAAGATCCTGGTAGATCCCTTGAAACAAGCAGACAGCATATTTGACAGCAATCTTCTCGAAATTTACTTTAGTCCAAAGAGAGTCCGACTTTTGGCAAGTCTCGTTCCAAAGTTGAGGATTTCCCGCTTCACTTGACACAAATAAAATATCAATGTAATTCTTTCTTTTTATAACAAAAAGAAAAAAAACACAACAATTTTCCAATCTCCGTTAACCACTTTAGTTGTCTACGCACGTCGCTCACTTTGATCACCAACCAGTTAAAAGTAAGATCAATAGCGAATTTGAAATAGCAGAGCTAGGGGTCATTAGTACAGTTTATAATTTATACCACCTGTTTATCCAAATTAAAACTGGATTCAATGTCACTACTTCAGCTTTCAAGTTTGAATTTTTGTAACTAAAAAAAGCTGGAAAGTGATTTTCAACTTAAGCGAATTTGATTGTTATTGGCATTTGTTATAAAAAATTTATTGTTTTGTAAGACTCAAAATCACCATAAATACACGTGAGTCGCTACAACTTAGAACGATTTTTTCTGTCATCCCTTTCTTTGTTTGTCGATTTATGTCTTAATAATCTTGATATTTTATATTAAAAAAGCACTAACAATCAAATAAAGACTCTAAGTGATTTTGCACGGCACTAAGCTAAAGTTAAAGTAATAAAAGTTTCAAGAATGAATCATGGAGTTTTGCAGATCATATCGGTTGATCAAACCAAATAACAATAGAATGCAGAAATACAGACTTTTGCGACTGCAAAAAAAAATCTGTTAGAATTCAATAATAAAAATAATAAAAATTTAACAGTATCTCGGCATCTTGCAGAGCCAAACATTGTCTAGCGTAAATTCCAACCAACATCTTCGAATACCATCACCACACAACGCTCACCATTGATCACCATTGTGAATTTTTCTGATTTTAAAAAGCTGAAGACAGAGAACTACCTATAAATGCGCAGGGACTTGAAACACCTGTGGGGTTAAAAATCAAAATCGTTATCAGAACGATTATGTTGAAAATCATGCAGTTCACAGTTTTGTTCTGAATTTGTTCAGTTTATTTGTTACACTATTTATCTGTTGAGTTTTTACTTGGCAGCTTAAAAAGACATAAACATCAATCCACAATCTTTTGTAAAAAATTTTTGAAATACCGTCTATGATTGTGTTACTACAACCTCCCCTCCCCTTTGATCAAACCCAAGCAGTCTAGTCTTCTACACACTAAGCTAAGTTTTAATAGGGAAACTACGGTTTCGTCTGCATTAAGACCTCTCAATCCTACGGTTACACTTTTGACGTAGATGGCAAATCCACTTTTAATTTCGATGAATAGATGGGCGGTACTACGCAAGATTATAAACTGTACTCA